GCGATCGCAGCCCCTGCTCTTCTCCCTCTTATCTTCCTCTAGTAGTATTTAGCTATTTTTTTCAGGCTGAGTTAGCCTTGATATTATTAGACAGATTATAGTTGATGCTCATGACTAGTGACACCCCGATGTCGGGCTTTTCTTTTCCGCACTTCTGTTTTTCTTTGATTTGAACTCTTTAAATGGAGGTTTTTATGTTAAATAACCTTGAAATTATCTTTGAAATGAAAATATCGTTTTGTTTTGGAAATGAGTCGGCTTGCCTAGTTCCACGATAGGCGCCATTATGACAGGGGGTTAGTTCTGGGTCGTGACAGATCCGAAAATACCATTTTAAAGTTTTCTTCCAAATATTCCACAATTTCTATCAAATTCCATATTAAAATCCATATATGACCCATGTATTTAACTCTAAACAAGTAGGAATAATTTACCTTATAATATATGGAGAAAATGATCTTCAAGAATCATCCCAAATCGCCCCACATGAGCTCCAAGAACTTAAAAGTGAACAAATGAGTTGAAAATCCCAAAATTAGATATTTAATACACCTACTAGGTCTCCTTCTTCATGATCGTGGTCATTAGCCATGCGATCGCAGTTAACAAAAGTTCCAGCATCGTTTCCTTCATCGTGATCGCGGCCAAAATCCCGCGATCGCGATGTACAAATTGTGTTTTCTTCTTACAGACACCCTTTTGGTATAGTGGTCATAACTTTTTGTACAAAATTCTAAATGACAAACGGTATAATTTTCTGAAAACTAAATTCAAAGGGCTACAACTTTCATTTTTGGATTTTCCCCAAATTCCTTATAGATTACAAGATATAATCTCCCAAAGTCATACTACTGATATCAGAAATTTCCTTCGCGATCGCGATTCACAAAGGCATGGAATGCACTTTGCTCTTCGCGATCGCGACCAAGACCTCCGTGATCACGAAGAATACCCTTGACATCAGATAACAGCAGTTCAAAATGGTCTCAAAGTGGTCCGAAACCACCTCAAAACTCACCCGAGGTTCGAGGAACCACGCCCAATCATTCTAACAAGTTTATATACCATATGTAAACTTGTTCAAAGGCTCGTAATATAAATTACGACATCGAAACCAAGAATTAAAGTTCAATCTCAATTTCTTAAACTCTCTTAATTTTCAAACCTTCATCCTTCGCCAAACGCGTCCGAATCACACATAAACATTTCGGAATAACGTCAAATTTTGCGTATACATCACAAATCACAATACGAACCTATTCCAAGGCTCGGAATCCCAAACGGACATCAATAATATCAAAGTACACTTTAACTCGAACTTGAAAAATTCTAAAACCTTTAAAATGCCAACTTTTCACAATAAACGCCAAAATGCTCCCGGGCCATCCAATACTTAATCCGAACACACGCCCAAGTCCGAAATCATCATACGAACCTATTGAAACCTTCAAATCCCGATTCCTAGGCCGTTTACTAAAAAGTCAAACCTTGATCAACTCTTTCAACTTAAAGCTTCCGAATTGAGAATTTTCTTTCCAAATCAACTCCGAACTTCCCGAAAATCGAAACCGACCACACGTACAAGTCATTATACATGAAGTGAAGATAATCAAGGCCTCAAACCGCCGTACGACGCTCTAGAACTCAAAACGACATGCCGAGTCATTACACATTGTGCAAAATACATGACGAGAAAAACTATCCTAACTAGCAAAATTGAATATGGCTATTAACTAAATAAGATATTGATTGCCAACTAGGTGATGACAAATTTTAATAAAAATTGATTTAAATGAAATTATAATATCTTTGAAATTGAACTCATAAAATCTTTAATTGGAACTGAATTTGGAATTAGAAGTCTATATAAATTCATTTTAATCAATTATATTTAATTTTATTTTATAAGTGTAACTGAAGATCTACTTGCAACGCACATATATAAAAGTAATTAGTAGCTACGGAATATAATTAGCTAAATTATAACGACGCTCGATAATAAATCTATAAACAATAGTCATTTGTGAAAAATCCTCCATATTCAATTAACCCTTTTCCGCAATTAAAAAGCCCCAAAAAGTAACAAAAAAAAGCAAAAGGCTAGAAGACAGAAGGGGGCAGTCCTCCGTGCAGTGCTCTCTCTATAACCCCACTACAAAAAAGAGAAATAAACAATCCCCACACATACAAAAACCCACTAGGATATTAGACTCCCCTCTCTCTCTCACACACACACAGTGATATCAAAGAGAGCACACTTAAGAGAGACAAAGAAAGAGACTGATGAGAAGAACAAAACCAATGTGAAAACAAAAAAGAAAAAGAAAAAGAAAAAGAAAAAAAAAGCAGTTGAAGGGGGAAAGGAAAGGAAGGTTGAGTTGGTTATGGTGGAAAATCTAATCGGCACTGTACAGCAGCTCAGGGGTAGATTCGTGATTACAGATTCATATCAATCTCCATGCTCGTTCTCTTGTTCTTCACCTCCGTGTCCGGGGCTCCTACTAATGCTGTTGAATCAATCGGCACCAAAATCAGTAAGCTCGGTGGAGTATTCATCGGCGGCGTTGGCGGCGGAGGCAACGGTGGTGGTTTCTGGATGGACCGTCAACCTTCCAATGCCGGTATAGCTTTTGCGGTCACGGCCTTGGCCGGACTCGCCTTGGCCGCCGCCGTTTTCTACTCTACTAGGTAAAAACGCACAAATTTCAAAACATATTGTAACCAAAAAGAGAAAAAAAGGAAGAGTGTTATTTACACATCCGGACTCAATTTGAAACCCTAAAAATCTGTAGAGTAGATCTTCTTCTTCTTTTTTTTCACAGTTAAAACAGTGAGTCAGTTGTAGAAGTAGATGAGAGCTCTCAGACGAAGTCAGACTTCGTCGTCTTCAAATTCCTCTTCACCGTCTTCATCATCACCATCATCGTCATCGTCATCATCGTGGATTCATTTGAGATCAGTCCTATTCGTTGTTGCATCCTCACCAGCTTCTTCTTCTTCCTCTAATCGGTGAGTCTCTCTCCTATCCTAAAACTGCTTCGATCTGCTTCTTCTCAGTTTCTATAACTGTTCCATTTGATCATTCATCTGCCATTTTATATAAGCATACCTGTTTTTCAGATCTCGATCTGAGGTCCTCTTCTTTTGGCTAGGATGTGCCCCAGTGCTAAAGTTGAATCCTTCAGATCATTGCTCAATCTCAGTCCTGCTATGTCTGGAGGGTCCTTAGATTATTCGTTTTGCTGCTCTAATTGAGTCTAGATTTGATTTTTATGATTGGAGTTTTTGTTGTCAATGAACTGGATTTATTCTTTAGGCTATAAGCTTTGAACAAGTCATAGTAATTTTTTATATATATATTAGACAAGGTTGGAAACCGTCATTAGGTAATAAAATTTGTTTATTGGGTGTATGCAGGCGATAGTTTAACTATCTGTCTGCTTACGTGATTAAACATTATGAAAGTTACAATTTTGTTGACCTCTTGCTAATTTCTCCTCCTCTTTTTTCCCAGTGACACAAGTAGGTTTCCATGTTTGAAGTTTCACAGAGTTTATGTGTTTATGAGGATAAATTAAGTGTGCTAATGAAATGGAAGCTGATATGATATGTAACCCTCTTCCTGTCTTCCATCTTTCCCAGGCTAGGGATGTTATATATTTATTTCTAGATTTTGGGGTGTGGGTTGGGGTGAAATTGCACTAGTTGAAGGGGAATTTCTGATGTAGTTAGTTTCTAGGCTTTGATGTGTTTTGAGTTTCTATGCCAGAGTCTCACTCTTTAAGTTACTGTCTGTGAAATTTGGATATTGTTTGGATTGGGTAGGCTCATTAACAGTGGGATTTAATGTTTAGCGGTGGTTCTAATCTTTCACCGTATGTTTTTGCTTATAATGATAGGTTGCGAATTTTTTCTTAGTTAAGTTGTGTTGCTAAATGTTTACCATATTGTCCTGATTTAGCATGAAGATGCCACAGCCCTGTAAGATTGAGAACCCCTTAAAGTAGCAAAATAGTATGACTTCTCTTCCATTGCAGTCTCACCCCTAGATTCCACATGGTTTCTTAGTGAGATGTTATTTGGAGGCAATTAGGAGTGCTTTGTGTTTGGATATTCTGATTTGAAGAGTGAGTCATTAATAAGTCCCTATTCCTGCTGCCAAACCTCGCCTATCAAAGATAGTCTCACGGATAGATTATGTTATCTTTATTTAGCAGTAATAATATGTACTACTTTCTGGTTGAACACTAAATATCCTGCAACTTCTTCCTTCTTTCAAGTTGTTATAAGTTCATTACCTTCAGCGCATTGTTTTGTGGTTGTGGACTTGTGGTCCTGCCAGTTGTTTCTCGCTATAGTGGTTCACCTTTGCAAAACCCTTGTTTTCTAGAGTGAGTTTTGAAGTGATTGTGAAATTGCTAATCATGCTGAATATGAGTCTTGACAGATGGATGTAATTTGAGCTTCTGATGTTGTTACCCTGACACCTAACAAAAACAAAGATATAGTGTTACCTTGACGTGCGATTCTTGTTTACCAAAATGCTTATTCATGCTTATCATTCATTTCAGAGGTCATCTCAAATCACCATGGTCTCGTAGAAAAAGAAAACGTGCTCTTGCACCCCAACAGTGGAGAGGCTTTTTCACACCAGAAGGAAAACTTCGTGATGGTGGAGTTAAATTTCTAAAGAAAGTCCGAAGCGGAGTGAGTTTCTGCCCACCTTGAATTCTTAGGATTGCATCTTTCTTATCTCAATGTACACAAAGATTATCAAGGCAATCAAACATTAAAAGGTTTGTTTGAGAAGTTAGGAGTAGAAAGGAAGGCCTAAAAGAGGAACTAATAGAGAATGATTGGATTTCCCTTGCTTGGTTAAGGGAGTACATAAGATTGAGTTGAGGAAACCCATTTTTTCTTGTTTGGAATCCAAATAGACCATGAGAAGAAGTTATAGATTCCCCAACTTTCTTTATTTTTTACTCTAGACTTTTCTCCTCTCAAAAAGGGATGGAAAAGATTATCTCACTTCTTTTGGTTGATTAAGGGATAGTAGGAGATGGAGAAAGATCATTCTGTCTTGCTTGGTATCCAAAAAGAAAGTGTGAAAGAAAGTTGTGAATTACCCAACTTCCTTTCAAAATTTTCAGACTTCTCTATTCCAACAGTAACATGATCTTTTATGTGCCTAAAAACTTTTCACGACTGAAGAAGGCAAGGAAAAGTTTTACCATCACCCTTTCCCTTCCTTGCTTTCCAAACAAGAGTATGTTGACTAATCTGTTGGCCCTTTCATGTAGGGTGTTGATCCAAGTATCAGGGCAGAGGTTTGGCCATTTCTGCTTGGGGTGTAAGTATTTCTTTCTCATGTAATAATTACCTTGTTAAGTTTGATGATGCGCTTGTTTTTTTGTCTCCTCTTTCCTTTGTTTAGCCGATTGTAGTTGCTTTAATTTCCACAAGAGATGGCACTGGAGTTCTATTTTCTAGATCAATAATAATTTATCATCTGAATATTTACTTCTTACTGACTGATAAAATCATCTCTTTACACTTCCCTTTAATTATATATTTAATAACTACCCCCATGTGCTTCATTCAGATGTAGTACCTGCTTCTAATGTGATGATGCTTGGGACCAGTACTCTCTCATACTCTGTCTATCTTTAAACACATCCTCTTGCTGGACCTCTAGTTATGCATGTTAGATTCACTGCCTCTGTCTCTATTATGCTACTAATTTTTTCTGTAGAAGATTGTTTCAAAATTATTCTCTGCTCTAGCAGTACTTCATTTCTTGGTGACAATTTAGGTTCTGGATCCTATTACCCTTACCATGTAGAACTACGCTTAGAATGGACAAATCCCTTATAAATGTTTTATTGTTTTTTAACTGTTTGAAGTGATGATGGGCAATGTTTCTAGATATTTTTAGTCCCATTTGGGAGCGCGATAGTTCCACATTAATATTTCCTGAATAGTACTCGCAGGAATAGTACTACTTAAAACTGTATATAATGTAGAGAAATTTTGTATCAAAACATCACATGTGTTTTTTTGTTGCACGTTATTTTTCAAATTTAGTTTTTAAATAACAAAGTAACCTGAAGCGGGAACTTAGTAGTTTGATTCGACAGATTGGGAAAGTGAATTGTAAAGACACTTAAATTTTTTGCCCAAATTCATTTTATTTAAAAAAAATTAGGCCCAAATCTGAGATTTTGCCTAACAAGTGCTTATTAGCCAAAATAAATCTATAAATTGCGAAATTTTTTGGAACATCTTTGATTATTTAGTCCAAATTAAATGTCATAGTTTATATTTGGGTTGATCTAAATCTTTGTCTATAATCCCCAGAAGGGATACTTTTTTCCTTGCACTTTCCAAAACTTTTTCACTATTCTATTATCAAAAAGGTATTTTAAGAAGTCAACATTATCTCTACTTCTAAGCCCACTTTTATTTGAAATAACAATTTTACCATATCTCGGGTTCGGGCCTTAGGAATGGAGTCCTCAATGGTAGGGAGAAACCCCCCATAGTGAGGTTTCTACTTTGCGAATCCGGATGAGTCAGGCCAGTTGGTTCGGAACAGCGGATGGTTAAACCGAAAATGAATTTTATCATTAACCAAAAAAAAGATAAAATTCAAATTCTTGAAAAAACCTATATCTATTGTTAGATCTACTTTCATTAAAAATATACATTGTTAATTTCAACATTTACTTTAATAGTCGTGTCTTAAGTCTAAATCAGATTAGATACCTATATGGAGAAGAAATGAGTACCTTTTTATGATAAAGCGCTTATTGTCTAATGTATCCCTCACCCAAATGGGGCCTTAGAGCAGTTCCCAGGCTTTTGCATCAGTGTAATTACTTTGCTCTGTCAAGTTCGGTGACAATGCAAACCTTGTGACGTTTCTTTATTTGTCAAAATGAGTTCCTGCAACCACAAATGGTTTTTTCCCTCTTTTTTTCCGACAGTGAGTGCTTTGGTTGTAGTAGATTGACTTACTTTATGTCTCTCTGCAGCTATGAGTTGAACAGCTCCAAAGAAGAAAGAGACTGTATAAGAAATCAGAAAAGGTAATATAACCAGATTCATTCTCCCTAGCCGAAAAAAGGACTGAGATGCAAGAAAACCCTTTATTTTTATCTTGTAAAAATGTAGAGGGTTCTGCGTGTAATCAGTTGACGGGTCATAGTTATCTGTGTGTTAATATTTGTTCCAACTACCTTTTAACTGCATGTTTCGTACTCCTTATAGTTGATCTGTGAGTGCAGGAGGGAATATGAGAGCCTTCGGAGAGATTGTCGCCGACTGCTGAAACGCAATGGAATTTCTAAACTGAAGGAAACTGGTGGAATGGGAAGCGATGGTGAAGGCAATATCACTGAAGGGATGGATTCCCCTGACTATGAAGATGTTGTTACTGCCCGGGAATCTCTCTCTAGTGAGGACAGGAGCCCATACATCGAGGATTCTGACAACCCCGGTGGTACAGATGAATTTTCCAGTTCCAAACGAGTGATGGAGCCAAATGATATCTCTGACTCTGAGTCATCAGACTCGGATTCCTCTGCAGATCCTGATATTAGTCAAACTGTCCCCTCCGCAGAAAGCATGGATGAGAGTACTGCTGAAGTTGCTGAAGTGACTTCTAAGGAGGACTCTTCTCCTTCAAAGACAGAAGTTTCTTCAAGGCCCTGTAGTGCAGAAGATTTTAATACATGGCAACGGATAATTCGGCTTGATGCAATTCGTGCTAATGCAGAGTGGATAGCATATTCCCCATCTCAAGCTGTAGTATCAGAGAGCAGGGCACACCGTTTTGCAGAGGCTGTTGGGTTGAAGGACTATGAACACCTAGAGCCCCCTAGGATCCTGCATGCTGCTCGGTTAGTCTCCATTCTTGAAGCCTATGCGCTATATGATCCTGAAATTGGCTATTGTCAGGGGATGAGCGATTTGCTTTCACCGATAATTACTGTAATGACAGAGGACCATGAAGCTTTTTGGTGCTTTGTTGGTTTCATGAAGAAGGCTCGGCATAACTTCAGGCTTGATGAAGTTGGAATCAGGAGGCAGCTAAACATTATCTCTAAGATCATCAAGCACAAGGATTCGCATCTCTATCGACACCTGGAGAAGCTCCAAGCAGAGGATTGCTTTTTTGTGTACAGGATGGTGGTAGTGCTTTTCAGGAGGGAATTAACTTTTGAGCAAACTCTTTGCATATGGGAAGTAATGTGGGCAGACCAAGCGGCTATTAGGGCCGGGATTGGGAAGTCTGCCTGGAGTAGGATTAGGTTGCGTGCCCCACCAACAGATGATCTTTTGCTTTATGCAATTGCAGCATCTGTATTGCAACGGAGGAAACAGATCATAGAGAAGTATAGTAGCATGGATGAAATTTTAAGGGAGTGTCAGAGCATGGCTGGTCAACTGGATGTATGGAAGCTTTTAGATGATGCTCATGACTTGGTGGTCACTCTCCATGAGAAGATATAGACACCTTTGTTATGGTGCTTTGTCGGATATTACACTAATTTATTCTCGTTGCATTCTCGGAAGTTATTACGCAGGATGATGCTATTGAAATCTGCAGGCATCTCTGGTACACATGAAGAACTGCTCTACCTGAAGACAGTTTATGGCGAAGTACTGGCGCTGCATTCTTTTGGCTAAAAAACAGGCAAATGTCAAAAGAATCTGCACTTAGGAAATAACTTATGCGACTATATCCTACATGCAGGCTGCAAATGGTTGAACTTAGTGTAGCCATTCGCAGGTAGCCTGCAAATGGTTGAACTTGCGTACCATACTTGGTATTAAATTTTTAATTTGGTTCTATTGTTAATGCGCCTAAGGTGGCCTTTAGTCGAAGTATTTGTATGAATCTCCTATTGCCAACTTCCCCAGGAAAAGGGGGTTTGGTTGCAAGGAGTGTTCTCCCTGAACAAAGGGAGATGGGATTGTGAAAGAAAAGGCATTGTGGTTGATTTGCAGCTTTGACGAACTGGAAAATTTGGCTTCTTAATCATCAAAACAGTAGCTATATCTTAAAATATCTAAACTGTGCTTAAATGATGTTTTCCTATGATATAGCAAACAAAATTGCAGCTGCAGAATATTTCAGTTCTCTTGGGCTATTGCTGGCAGCTGTTCAAAAACATAACCGTGCCACAAAAGCTCTTAAATCAGCGTAATATTGCATTTCCTTTCACTATCTCCACAAGTATTACTTAAGATCAGGTGTCAATGGGCTCCAGAACGAACATGTTCCTACCTATATTATAAACCACACCCTTAAAGCTTCCCTGTCAACCAATAACAGTTTGATAAAATGAGCGTGGTTTCATCTTTCTAACAGTTAAAAGACTAGCGGAAACCTCAAACACACGTGTAATATGTATATCACTTGAGTCTTCAGAGACCAGAGAGCACTTGGCATCAAGGTCAAATCATGCTTGATTGGGATCCAAAGGAAAGCAAGGTCCAAATAACTCCTCCTTTAGATCTATTCTCTAAGGAGGAGGAAGATCACATGTGCAAGCTCGTAGTTAGGTCTCTCTTAGGAAGACAATGAATATATTTTAGACAGATTTACAATCCAGCATAACTGATGGTTTTTATGAAACAATGTTCATGCACCTATTATACAACATTACACATTATTATAAATTTGCATGATGTTATATACAAAAATTGTGTTCAGTCTTCGAGGAATTTTCAACTCACGAAAAACATCACCTAATAGCTCAAATATTCATCATAGCTTTAAATTTTAACCACAAATTAAAAATCACATCCCAACGAATTGCAATCATCAATTTTGTTAAAAATTTCAATAAAGCACAAAACCCAATTATGAGTTTTCAAGCTTTTAAAAGCCCCAACAATGGAGTCTTAATTTTTAATTTTAATTCACCCAACAATGTTTAAATGTATGATGATAAACATGAAATATCACTCTCACATCAATTTTAACACGTATCGTCTTAATACCCAGTTAATAGGTGAAAAGAAGTTTCAAATTATATACAAAATAGGCTAAACTAGGTTTTAAAAAAAATGAATATAGGCTAAAATTGGTACCTGTACTTCCCCTTAATTGAAAAGGCTCTGAAACCTGGTTTAAGTTGTGTGTTGGTTGTTTACCCCATTTCTTTTTGTCAATATTGGATACTGTAAGATCATGTCCTACAATTCGTTATTTTATATTGATAATCTTTCTAATACACTAATGAATAAAAACAAAACAAAAAATGTATGAGCTAATTCGATGAGTTTACTAAACTCGATTATTTCATCGGGTATATGCTACCTCTCACCAGCACAAGTATCTGATAACTCTACCATCCAAGGCTAATTACCTAATACACTTTTAAACCCGATATCTTATGGTTCTCCTCACTTCATTCACTACTTCTATTTTTGCCATTCTCGTAGCACTTGAAATTACAGCCAAAAGTCTTTTCCGCTTAATGCAAAAGGAGTTGTATATATAGCAAGAGAACAAAGCAGCTGAAATTTTAAGTTAGAGAAAAAAAATCTGTATCTGTAAGCACAATCGCTATAATTCGCAAAAAACGGGCAGGTACAACTTTTGCCATCTCCAAGGGCGCGAGCAAAAACAAAAATTTTACCCCAAAAAATCAGTAGGCTGGTTGCAACTAATTAACCAGTATAGAATAGAAGAACACACAGAAATCTAAAAATGGAAACGAGATAATCTCAAATATCAAAAAACACAAGCCAAAATCAAATCTAGTGTTTCCAATAGGCATCAGACAAAGCAGTTGCAAAGGACAGTACAAAATTGATGATCACATTCAGTTGTTGCAGCTCGATAGTGAACTAAAACAAGATAAACCAAGTCATCGTTCAACAACTACATAAATCAAGAATAAGTGTACTGATGCAGACTGGAATCCAAAAGAATTACTTCTCCTTGGTGTAGTGTCGTACTGCAAAGGCCAAGCCCAAGATCAAGAGGGGTACAAGGAACTGTAGAATTTTGATAATGAATTCTGGAGTCTTGTCCGGATTGTATGGGGCTTGTTGCGGTGGAATATATGCACGTTTTAGGGGAACTGTTGACACGTCGATATCCCCAATGTAATACTTATCCATCATCTCTCTAGCAGAATCACTGTGGCCAACATCTTCAAAGTCATTGGTTGCATCTTTCCCTGTTCAATAATAAACCAAAAATCAGTATTCATGCCACACGACACTCAGAAGCGACTCATGATTTGAAGGTCGGGGTGCACTTTTGGATTCAACCAAAATCTAGTTTGTATATATGGTGTCCACTACTAATATATTACATTTTCTAAAGACATATACATGTATACATGGAATTTTTGCCGAACTTTACGGGTGCCGATGACCTCTCTCCTCTCAGTATAGCATACGCCTCTGACGACACTTATGACCCAAATAAACTGAAGCGAGAGAAAAGGGATTACCAGTTGCTGAAAGCAAAACTTCATCACCACCAGGATGATCCTCCATGAATGGAGTTACATCATACACCTGAGAACAATTTGATATGCAGACATACATTAATATTCGTTTTAGGTAAGGAAAAACATAAAACTGTTGGACTCTTGAAGGAAAAGCATCTAGATGAGATATAAGTTGGTCTACACTGACATTTATAACACAGCTTGTGATGACAACTAGAGATACCGACACGTAACTGATGAACTGAGCATAAGAAGCTTAAGGAAAATAGTTCATTGTGGAATCTTAAAGTAGTCCCCAGATTTGAGTAACTTATTAAACAGCTGTTGATGACTAGTCGCTAACAATAATAACATAAAGCTAAAGGTATTTCATTATTTCAGATAATGAAATATACTTCTTCGCCTTCATTACAATATACACATTTCCGATTTACCCCAGGTCTTTTGCCATAAGTGTATTTCTACAAAGTTTTACCTCTTTCAGGGCACCGGAATTGAGAGACATTAAAACAGAAGAGATGCGTGGCTAAAACATGATTCATATGTTTAGGTATTCCCTTCAAGCCATAGAATTAGAAATGCCTGACCTTGATATCCTTAATATGCAAAGCATTCAACAGGAAACAGGTCTCGGAGCTCTAGGGGGTATATACACACAAAATGGATACTTATATTTAGGATTGAAATTAGGTATGAAGTGGTATCAAATAGAAAAAGCAAATTTATCCCACTCGTGTTTCAATTTTTTCAGGAAATACCTTCTTCACGGATACATCCGTGCCACAGAATATTAGTTGATAAACTAAGCTGACTCTCAAAACTTTTTTATACTAGTCTCTTCTTAAACGTAGCAAAACTAATGGGCAAAAACCAATTCACTGCTCAGCTTAGACCCAGAAGGGGGGAAATAAATAAATTAGCTGGCTTTTCTCTCAACTAAATGAATTCTACCTCCCTCCCCCTCGTTGTTCCACAGTTACAAACTTTTCTGCATCAAATCTCTAAGACAAATAACTACCCTTGTTTTCCTGGATAAAAAGACTGAAGCCTCAAAGTTTATTTCAACATCAGCTACCTAAATTACATCCATGTATATCATCAACATGACCTTCATAGATACGCGAAAAAAATTGTTACCACCGAACTCCTTCTTCAGTAGGAAAAGTCTAAGTTTAAAAGTTGGACATTTCAACTGAAAACCAATAGGCATAAAGGAGAATATGTTAGGAAACTCATCCTCCGAATCTGAACTTAAAACGGTCAATTAGAAAGATAAATGCTGAAGTTGCAAAGAAACAATTCAATAAGAACTGTAAAAAGCACTAATTAGATCGAAGCTATCACCGAAATTCCCAATATCAACGAATTCGATAATTCCAATGTCACGACACCCACTTGGCTACTACCACTCAGGTCTCTAACCAAAAAAACTTCTTAAGGAAAAAAAAAAAGCAAACAGATTGAAAGATTAGATAACCAAAAAGCCATAACCAAGAAGTGAAGAGAGAAGATGAAACCTTTCCATTGATAATAAGCCAGCAATCTTTGGTCTTGTTGTGTTTGGCAACCTCCTCAAATCCATGAACTTTCCCATCTGACGCCATCTGCACCCCACCGCAAAGATCAGATACATTAATTACTTCACAAAAACAATAGTAGTAATAATCAAAATCCATGAAATTCTACGCTTTTACGTATACTCACGAGAGAGAGAGGGTAGGGGGAGTTTCTTCAGATTCTCTTTCTCTCTCCGTTCGTGCATCAAACGCCTTTTGGAGTGTGCCGGTCCAACTACATGGTCAATATTATAGAAATCCAGATACGGAATTACCCTTGAAATCTATGGAAATTACGCCCATGTTGTTGGATTCCGGTCTTTGTTTTTCTTTTTCTAATATCTAAAATTTGGTGGTTGTTGGAAGACATTCAGGACCCAACAGCCGAAATTTACCAAATTTGCTGAAATTGGTCAAACTTTAAGTAATTTTAAAAATAAGAATTAGCCAAAATAGCCGCCCACATTATCTTTAAACTAAAAAAAATCGATGGATGTATAATATACGTATAATTTATATATAATATATATATAATTATTTATAAATAATGTATAATCTATATATACCGGCTAGAAAAACTAAACATTGAATATGACCAGCTATTTGTGTAAAAATCCATTTTAAAAACTTAGATATATTTTTTTAAATAGGAAAGCTAAGGTCCCTTGTTTTGTTCTTTTTTTCAATCTTCTTATTTTTATTTGTTATGAAAAATCAAAATACAAAGTATATTAACCTTTCGAATCACTTTTACTTTTCCACTGTATTAAAAATATATTTTTATTTTTATTTGTCAAATTTTAACAAATTAAGAAAAAAAAATTCTTCTGATTTACCCTTATCATTAATTATTCATTTCATAAATTATTTTTTAACACTTCTCTAAATACGATCATTATCTATTACTATTTTTTAAGGGGCATGCAAAATTTAATCATGGACAATGAAAAATAAATGGAGAAAGTATCTTTACAATATCTTTAGTAACCAGTTGTTA